ATCTTTTTAAGTTAATTAAAACTAGATTAGGTAAAATAAGTAATAATAAAAATATAATCAAAATGGTTCATGAGACACGTACGAGAGCAGCTTGTGGGTAATGTAATTAAATAGTGTAATGTTAGTTGCATGTTCCCCGAGTGAGTTATAATGGTGCGGATAGTAGTTAGACATGGTTCAAAGGGCAATAAAACAATAAAATTTAATTCTAAATAGATGTATACTGTTATGAACTTAGAGCTACTTAGGATAAACAAATGTAGTTTCACTTTGCAATTTCAAGTCATTCTAGAGAGAAAAAAAAGAGTAATTTTGGTTTATTTTGATTTGTTTTTGGGTGGTTATGAGGTCGGTCAAATTTACTGATCGTGTTTTGAGATAGGGTAGAGAAAATAACAGATAAACTATAAAGTTTTACTGAAAAAAACGTTTGAAATGCATTTTGGAGGTAGGCATTACACAAAGGAAATTTGAGATTTTTTAGATAATTAAAAGTATTTTTAATTTTAACATGAAAATTACTTTGCACATGGACTATTCAAAACATATACTCCGTATATTAATGGACAAACCTTTATTTTATTTTATTAAAAATACTTCACTAAAAATATAATTTTTTATATGTGAAAGGCTTATAATATGAACTGAAAGACTGCTAAATTTTGTGAAGATATACACACTATATTGAAAGTTAGAAGTATTAAATATATAAATATTTTAATTGAGTACAAAGAGGTCTTGTGGTCTGTCAAATTGACGGAACCCATGTTGACAGAGTTAACAGGTTGAATTTCCTGCCTTAAAAGAACTTGCCAGTAACCAAAACATTGTTATTATCTGGCCAGATAAATTTGCAGGTATCATCGTTTTACACCAATCTGATTATGTCTCCAAGATGGAAGATATTTTTAAGGACAGAACAAAGTTTAAACCTCTCTATAATGATTGGCTTAAGCATACTCTCAAATTCGAGAAAAAGTTTCAATGAACTTTAAAGATATTTCAAAAATTGTAAACTCATCTCAGACACCGCTTTTGCAGAACTTTATCCTACAGGTACCCACCCCAGTCTTATGTATGTCTTACTGAAAATACACAAAAATGGTTTACCCTCAGACCAACAAATTTCCTAAATAATGGCTGGAGACGGCTTGAATGGGTAATGAAGAAACATATAAGTTTAACATAACAGCAAATGTATAACATTTCGACAAGGTTTTTGCCACTCAGAAACAATTAATATAACTATTAAACAATTATTCC